TGGCAGGTTGAATAAATGATTGTGCACTTCTTAATGCTCTCTAGTGTATAAAATGCAAGCATTTTATTTATTTTCTGTAAACTTCATAGCTCAAAAAAATGTTCTTCCTGTTTCCTGATCCTCATTTCAAGCAAAAGAAACATAAGTGGAGGATAATAAGGTCAGTATAATGGGAAAAGAAGGTTTTATGACTGCCATAGGAGGGGGACATTTCAGGGGTCTGAACACCACAACACTGCAAAAAAAAAAAATCAGGAAAATACAGCAAATCACACCAAAAATCTCAAAAGACTGCAATATTTTAATACAAGTCAAACTTGTTGTCATGCCAAAACCAGTACTCGGTATGTTACATTTAGGCAAAATAACAGGGAAATAACAATTAAGAATTTGTTAATGAAGGTCAAGTCTAGTAGTTTTTGCTTTCACCCTGTTTCTGAAATAGTTGCAAACTGGAAAATGCTCAGAAAATGGTGGAGGATTTTAAGGATAATTTTTCACACTGTCCAAAATGCTAAGAAATGGCATTGCACAGGTATTGAAATACCACAGTACCACAGTTCTAGGTTAAAATTACAGAAATACTGCAAGAAAAAATTGTCCAATGCCACAATACTACAAAACCCAATGTCCCACTCCCCTAGTAATGTGGCATTGCAGCTAAAAGATGGTTAATTCAAGAACAGCCAGTAAAAAGGTAAAATCCAGCTGGAACACTTCAGAATTATACTTGAAACCAAACTTTGGAAGGGTGCTTTAGGTCAATTTTAAATGTTCTCTTCTGCAATAAAAAAAATAATTTTAAGGACTTTGTTGTCAGGGATATTTTAGGTGGAGTTCAAACACCTTTTACTTTTACTGGACTAATTCATTATTATTTTTCATTCCAGCCCTACATTACTAGCTGAGTACGCATACGTTTTAGCAGAAGGGGTAAGTCACTTTTGAAAATGTGAAACAAACATGCACACTTTGTAGTATTCTCCGGCGGCCTTGCCAGCATAGCAGGCACTTCATTGTACCAGGTGTAAGTGTTAAACTAGAAAGCTTGTCACTTGTGTTTTTGCAGACACCTGTTGTAGACATTGTTTGATTCATGAACAACATGTTTTCCCAACACTATTTGAAATAACTCGGTCTGATAGTTGTGGAGATTTTCCTCTAATGTCAAAATGAAGCCTGTAAAACCAAACATTTCTTGGGATGTTATTGTGTTGGTATCCGGTATTTTCGTCCAAGAGTCTTTTCGTCTAAAGTCTTAGGTCCATTCGTGCAATATCAAGTCTTGTCGTTAAAGTTATTACATTGTTTTAAATGAAGTTGTAACGCGATATATTTTATTATATAGTGACAAAAATAAAGACCTGCCGTTTAATTATTTCGCGCGCAAAAAATGAGACTATTTGGCTTGTTGTTAATCGTCTATTGGGCGCAATAAACAACTAAGAGTATCGTCACTAAGTGTCCGACATAACCAACAACATGGTCCAATATGATAAAGAAATAAAACTAAGCCAAAAATGATAAAGAAATAAAACTAAGGCCAAAATGACCCCAAAGAAGTATCTTCTCCGTGTATTTATCACAATTAACGACGTTGAATTCGTAACTAACGAGGATTGGTAACCAAAGCTATCGGAACCAAAATGACAACGGCTCGCACTAATAAGTTCTTTATATAGCCTTATCTAGCCTTCTAAAAGTTATTTATTTGCTTCAAGAAAAGACGTAACAATTAGACGAACAGACTTAGATGAAAAACCTTTTGAACGAAAAGACTATTGGACGAAAAGACCGTAATTCATTGCGTTCAGGGGAAGTGGCAAATGTAATGTTAAGTTTCCAAACTGTGAGCAGTAACTACACTCTGGTTATTTGGCTGTTGATTCTTAACGTAGCAGATTTTCCAAATATGTTTCACTTCAGTTTTAATTTGTGTAAAAATTGCTTGGCTTATAGTCGAATAAATACGGTAAGTTGTTCAGGGTGCTACTTGTTGAGGTAAAATTTTGTTCGTGTCATCTATTTTCATTTGTTCTTTAAGGGTCTTGTTTACACCATAACTGATGTTCCTGACCTGTGTGACTGGATGAAGAAGCATTTCATGGAACACCCGTTGTTTGAGGCAGTCAGTGATGATGAGCTGGTAATAGTGTACTCTATTCAAGAAGAAAAGTGTCTCTAATGGGGAAACTCGGAGCTCTGGGGTTCTAATCTACTCTAAACTTGAGCTGTCCGCGAGCAAGAGTAGTGTCTGTCAGTAGAACTTGCATTGGAGTGGAAACCAGAGAAATTTTAAAGGAGTGTATGTGGAAGCTGGGTGAACAAGATTCCGGGATAATGTGACTTTAGGTGCAAACGTGCTTGAACGAGAGTTTCCGTTGAATGAGTTTTGACAGGAGTCATTTTTAATTTTTGGTACATAATTTTAAAGTCTTGGAAAAGGTCACACAAATTAATAGATAAAAAGGAATGAAAACTGATGAAAAAAGTTGAAAAAAGCCGCAAACTATGTGTTCCTGATTTCCGGATCTGTACAATGTGCAATAAGATATAATTTTTTTTCCATTTTCTTCATAGGCGCAGGACCCCGTCCTGGAAAAACTATACCAAAGCACAGAAGAAGGACATAAAGTTACTAGGAACAAAGGAATCAAACTAGTGGCTGTATTCCGACGGATAAAAGATCCATACGTGACGTAACCAGGGCAATGCCTCCCTAACATAAATTAACCCCAATTGCCAAGTCCTACGCGGTTAGGAAGCGGTTATGACGCGGTTAGTCGTTTGTCTTGTAGGCTCCCGAGCCTGCCCGTATAGCTTTGTAATGAGGAGAAATAGATGGTGTTTCAGATTGATTGCGAAGTAGGAACAGTGTCAGGGAAGCTGTTTGAGTAGAGAGAATGATGAAAGTCGTCGAAGCCGTGATCTTATGATTGACGGCCTCTGTCGGACTCTATCATCGCTGCTTTCTATTATAATTGTCATTAACTTCTTTCCGCGATTGTTCGAAGAGTAGGCAACGCTGTCTTTAGATAAATCTCCATCCGGCGGATGGCACAGTACGTGTTGTTAACACATCCTTTGGATAGTGATTTACCTGTTGGATAGAATTATCTACACTTTGAACAACTGGGCCAGTGTGTGAAGAAAGGTCAAACCACAGTGAGAACGACTGGAACTTCCTTTTCAACATTATTAATGTCCTTTTTATTTTTAGTTTAAATGATTTTGGTGGCGTTGTTTTTGCTGTTTTTGGAATTCATTCCTTGTGCCTCTTTTTTATCCCGAGCTCCTTCGCGGGTTTTACAAACTTGCGAAGTTTAAATGAGGGTCTCCTGGTTGAATGTTGTTTCTTTCTGAGACAGGCAGCGTCACCAGAAAGGAGTCATTGTGTGGAAGTCTTCCTTTGGAAGTTCATGTGCGAAAGTCTAAATTCTTGTTACTTACCGAATTGACAAAGGTTTCGGGACTAGACGTCATGATTGCGACTGAAAAGAAGAAACTGCTGCTCTGTATGTTGTGTGTTTGATACCTAACAGTTATATTACCGTCCAGCCTCGCTCACGCAATCCTAAAGAATACCATAGTAAAAGCTAACGTGTGTAGCTGTAGGACCGCATTGGTTGACCTGATCCGATCCGGAAAAAGCCGTTCGGCCTCGTACTCGCATATCTTTGCTTATTTTTTAAAACTCTTTCCTAAAACGTAATTTTGAATTGAGGACACACGTAAGTCTAGTTTCTCGACGAATCGTGAGTGTTTTTTTTTTTTAATCGAAAAAATAAAAGAAAAATTTTTTTATCATTGAATCTTTTTTGTGGTTGTCGCGTGTGGGCCTGTCTATCGCGTCTGATTTAGATTGAGATAAAGTTTTCGACATTTTCAACACTTAGTGATCGTATATTAAAATGCTCATTGTATAAGTTTGGTTGGGCCAGATGGGAGAAATATTTGGCTCTCGTTTGACGCATACGTCATGACTTCGAACCAAATATTCCCCGTCCGACCCGACCAACTCGGTAAATTGGTAGTACATACTACTTAAGCCTTCTGCGCATCACTTGATTCCAATTCAAGGCCAGGCAACAGTCTAATTCTTGTTTTCTGCCTGAGCCATGGACAGAGTAGTGTTACGTTGAGTGTTCTTGCTTTGTTACTCTCCGTGAGTGGTCTAAAATATTCTCGCCAACGTCTCGACCAATCACGACCTCGTTACTTGAGTTTTCCCGCGCTTGAGGACACTTACAGGTATTCGTATGTTCTGATTGGTTCTTCGTTAATCCCACCTTTGTTTTGATTGACTTTGGTTTCGCGAAACTTAATCTAAAAAGCGCTCTATTTAAAGTAACTCATCCCTGCATTTTGACACTGGTTGGCCAAAAAAAAAAAACCTTTCGATTTAGCAACTTCCTTAAAATGAAGACGTCCTTTAAATCATTCGCTTTTCCATGTCTGATTTTCATTATCGTGTTAGGACCCTCCACTGTGCCCTGAAGTTGGACGGAAAGAAAGCACAAACTCAGGGTAGTCAATGTACCCATCGTCATTGCGGTCTTGGTCTTCTAAAATAGTGTCCACGAAAGATGCCATTTCGTCTTCTTCAATTTTGCTTGATTCGTGATCAACTTGAATAAAGTATTAAAAAAAAACATTAATCCCAACTGATCAGAGTTAAGACAAGTAACATTTCTACACCTTCACTCCCAAGATCAAATCGGAAACTCTCCTCACTACCTGCCAAACAATTCTTATGATGTTTCTTAGGAGAATTTGGTGTTGGATCAATTGATAATCCCCTAATGGATATTTTTCTTGTATTCTTATCGAAAAGACAATGAACCAATTCCTCCTGCACTCATTGCATTCAACAATTTCAATTTTTTTAATTTTAATTTCAATTTTATTCATTTCACACTATAAACGACATTTACAAGGTTTATATTAAATATAAGAGAAAGAGAGAAAAAAAAAGGTAATATTTGGCCATAAAAATAAGGTTGAGATGTGCACAGTGTCCAAGGTAGCAAGAGCTTTCTAGTTGGACACTGTAATGGTCATATAAATAGCAGCCTACACTAAAAATAAATCAGTAGTAAACTAAAGTAAAGCAAAATAATCAAGTTTGATTAAGCAAAAGTTGACGTTTCCCGTCTTTCTCAAAGATATTGTAGGGCATATAATCAAGATTTGTGGGTACGATTTCCTAGATCTTTGAACCAGAGAATTTGAATGATGATTTTCCCGTGTTAGTGGATACTCAACAGACATTTACTAGAGAGAGCCTCTGCGGAGGAAAGAGGGCCTGTCTAGATTGCAGTTTAACTTATCCATCTGCGCGTACCTTCCTCGTCCTGGGAGTGGGCATGATGTGACAGACCTTGAAACAACTCTAGACCGTCCAACTTGCTGTTATTATCATAGTCATGCATCAAGAAGAACTGAACCTCTCCCTTGGTTTCCTAAAAAACCGTTAAGAGGCAAAAGGTTTGAGCCAAAAATCAAAGCGGAGTTACAGAAGAAGTTGTCTGCATAGAGGGACGGGTGAATGTTACGATGGTCTACTGAAAGAGTCTGTTGATAATCGCCATGCATATTATATATGCGAATGTTTTCCTTCGGCAACGAAAATTAGTTTGTTCTCACTCCATTTCCATGGAAAATGCTAAAAGCCAGCTCGTTTTGATAGAAAAAGAATTTTGAGTATGGTAAATGTTAAGCTTGGCGATTTAGGTGAAAGATGATGTATTCACAGTGAACGACATAAGCTTACAAACCCGGAGATAAAGAACTCCGAGTGCGTCCAACAAGAGTCAAAACTACGACCTTCCGATAATTACTTCGGGTGCTCTACGATTGAGCTGCACATGTAGGAGACCCGTAACAGGCTCGTCCACTCAGCAAGATCAGTACTGCTAGGATACGAATATCGAATGTGGTGCTTATTGCAAAATGATGATGTAAATAAAGAATTCTCAAGCCTCTTGCCCGCTTCCACGAATAAACCTGAAAACGGTAGTTCTGAAAACTGGTAAACAGAAAAAAATATTTTCGGCTACCACTGAACGATCACCGACAGTGAATGCGCTTAGCTGCTACCTTATGAGCGCTTGGTCGTTTGAAGAGAGATTCCGAGGGCGCCTATTCTCTTTTAATATAAACGACGACATTTATTTATTTTTTGAGAGAGGTATTTTACAAAAGTAAACATTGTACTTACATTCAGGTATTTAACTGCCGCCTCCTCGTCCATTCCCATTTGTTCCATAAGATGTTCCTTTAAATGGCTGTAAAGTACATAATAGCGACATTCTAATAGAATTCTTTTAGAATTTGGTTATTGAATGGCGTTTTTCGGCTGCGTCAGTGCAAAGTTGGCAGAACGAATTGCCTCAGCAAACATTCTAAGTAAAAGGTTGTACAACGCTCAAATACTCCAGAGGTTATGTGGGTGGTTACGTACAACCTGTTTACTCAAAATGTTTGCTCTTAAAAATTGACTTGAAAATTGTTGCCAGGACGGGTTGCCAAAAAGCCACATGGCTTTTTCTTGTGACGTCAGTTGATTTGACTCAAAACCGTGAAACATGGTGAAAAACGAGAGGAAGGTAGTTATATTGTGTAGCTGGGGCCCCGAACTGTCAAAGTTGTACGAATTCGTTTTAAACACCTGGTATTTTGATACATGTTTTCCCCTCCAATCCCACTTTGAGGGCAAAATGGGTTAAATTCCGTCCAGAAGCAGCGCTTTGATTTCGACTAGCGAGATCGCCTTGTTCGGCCCACTTCGAGCAAAGTCGCTTTGAAAACAGCGTGGCAAATCCACTAGAGGGTATGGAGGGCTTCAAAATGAAAAGGAGACACATGCAAGCATCGAGCATGTACCAATGCCTACGTTAGATGACTCCATTCAACCCGAAAGGTGAGATGTATAATGTGGATAATGACAGACAGACAGACAGACATCTATATTTATACAGGATAGCCCCTTCAGTGTAGTAAACACTGGTATCAACGGGGGTCCTGTTACCCACCCAACCCACCCCAGGGGAGGACATCCATCACACAGTAATCTCGTGCGTGGGAAATTAACGTCTCCTGCCCCTAACCCTGCAGGAGACGGGACCTCCATTTATTCGTCCCTATCCGAGAAGACTAGAATATCTAACCAATTCTTGATGTTAAAGAAAGGAAGCATATTCTTCTCAGTTAATTTTAAGACCCTGAGTGTTGGTCCGGCCGGTATTGAACTCTCGACCTCCCGCACAGCAGACCGGCGCTCTCCCAATTGAGCTAACCAGGCGGCGGTTAATGTAGAGGACTTAACAGATAAAATCGTTGAAGAAGGTGAAATAGAAATCATCATGTTATAATGAAACAATTTTTCGTGTTTATCTACTTTGTATTGCGGCTTCTATTCAAGAGCAGCTTCTATTTTTTCTTTTCACGAAGTTTTTGCGGCTTCTATTGAAAGGCGGCTTCTTATCAAGGGCGGCTTCTATTCAAGAAAATACGGTAAGCACACTGAGATTTCATAGCAGAAATACTGCCCTATCGGCCACATCGCAAATGTTTTTAACCCTGGCAGAAAATGAAAAGAAAACAAACTGGTCGTATTAAAAGGAAACGGAATGAGCTCCCCAAAATTTATTGTTTCCGAATTTTTTCCGAATCTTTGCGAATTTGACTGTAAGTCGTGACCTCCACTCGGAAAGAAATGAAATCTTCATTAAACCAAAATTTACACGTTTAATGAGAGATTCGTCCAGTTCTCCTTTCTTCTGTGGTGGGTGGTTCGATACATAAGGAGATAATATGTCAAAAGCCACAAATAAGTTATGTTTATATATGCGCTTTCTTGTCAGGGTATACGCATATATAGATAAGTGCTGATTTGTCTTGGTGTCCAACTAGTTCACCAGCTAGATCAACCTGTTATTTTTGCTGGTGACATCGAAAACAAAATCAAGATTTTGTAACGCTCAATGAATTGGAAGGCGCACTTCTCCTCTTAGTAAAAATTTGAGAGCCTTAATGATCATTTTATTCCCTTACAAAATATTAAGCAAGAGAATATTACTTACTGTGAGTCGTGGGCTTGAATTTCTAAAACCTCTTGCGCCCTTTTCTTGTCTTTTGTGCCTTCACAAGCCGCAACCATGACAGCGACAATGAGGCAAAAAATTATGCTAGATCTTCTACACCACGACGTTGTTAATTCTAGAGGAAACATGGTTTGTTCTTCCAAGTCAAAGCTTCAAATCGCTGTGTACATTCGTGGTGTTTTTGCTCTGATGGAGTCATCAGTAGCGGTAAATATGTAAATTTGTGGTTTGAGATAAACTGTTTCGAATTTGATTTACTCAGGTAAACAGGTGTACCGTGGAAATCAACCAATCAGAGAGCGCCCAATCACCAGGATCATCCTCAATAGTAAAGAATTTCCTTGAAATAGCTTGATTTGATCCTCAAGGCTTGATTTGAAATAGCTTGATTTGATCCTCAAGGCTGGTTAAATCAGTTCAAATCTTGAGAAGTGAAGATTGCCGGAAAAGCAGCGTATGGGTCTGATAAGAAGAAACAAACCGGCAAATTGCCAATAAACTGAAAAGTACAAATTAAATTAATTTTTTTTTACTCCATCGAGATATTTGGTATCAACCAATAAAAAGCTGCTCTTTCTCAATTTCTTTAATTCGACCACTACGAATTGACAAGAGTGTAATAAATTATATTCTTTTGGAAATTACGATTAAATTGCAAGCAGGTCCAAAATTTACCATATTTTTTTAATCGGTTGTCTCACAAGGCGCTTTCGACGTTGTTCATCTCTGCAGTATACAGGGCTTTTGTGACACACCAGTTACGCGGTTTACCCGACTCTGATCAATCTCAGTGAATGACCATCTACATGCGAAATTTTTATATCTGTAGCTCAATTCTTATAAGCTTAATTTCCCGTAGATTCATTTTCTTTGTCCTGTGCATTTAACAAAAGAATTACGTCTTTCGTTAAGTAAACCCATTCTAACCAATAATAACATATTTTACCGTGGTAAACCTTCTGCAACAGCTGTAATAAATGGATGACCTATAGGTTCAGCGTTAACAACAACAACATCATCAACAATTTCGATCTTGGGAATCCTCGCTGTCATTTAATTCTCTCCCGAGATTCTTTTTCCCAAATTCAAGGGTTCCATAACTTGATTTTCAGCTCTAGGTCCAACAGAATTTGAATTTTTCACTCGTTTACCACTGCTTTTGAAAAGACGCTCATACGATGCAATGTATAGACAATGCATGCATGTTATTTCCCAGTAGACCAGTATAGCATAGCCTCTTATTAACTTGAACTTTATTTTTATTTAGACACGGTAAATCTATCAGATAAAATAATAATATTATTACAATCTATTATTACAGTTACAATCTACTTTAATCTATATAAACATGATCTAAAATTTAAAAGTGAAATAGAAAAAAATAAAGAAATTCTGCTTTACATAGATGCCGTGTGCGTTTTGTCGATTCAG